GTTTTGGTTTCACTCTCCTATTGCATAACGAATTGTGTTTTTGTGCCGGTACTTTCTTTTTTATGAAAGCTGTCATTTTTTACAGTTGTCCAGGAGTACTTTTTTTCGTTGTTTGGTTCTGACACATAATTTTCTATGCGTAATTCGTTCTTTGTTTCTGTAATATAGAGACTTGTTCCCGCCTTTGTTATATGGAGAGCCCGGTACATTACCAGTCGAACTATTTACTATTCACGCTTCTGTCTCCCTTTCTAATTCTCTCAAAAAGATTGGCAACAGGCAGATGTACTATTCTGCTACCATTATAGTACTTCTCACGTTGAAACTGCACCTGTGTAGAAATTTTCAAGAAAACCGTGCAAAAAACCAGCAGAAATTTTCAAGAAAACCGTGCAAAAAAACCAGTCTTGAGTGATGGCAAAAACCTCATATGCCCGATTGCGCACGTTTCTCCGGGACCCCGCACTGCGGCTTTCAAAACATAATCGTAGATGCATACTCTAAACAACCCGACTGTCTTGCCGATCTATATGATCTATAGATGCCTGCTTCAACTGGTTTTGAAAAAAGTCTCATTGTAATTTGCGAAACATGAAGTTACGAATAAAGGAACATTTTCGAATGAATTAGCCAAACCTGCAGTGATTCGACAGATATCGAGTTTGATCCACTGTTATGTCAATGCAGCTGTGAACGAGCATAAACTAGTATGGATGCGGTGTTGTCAATTTGAACGATGCCAGCAAAAGATGAAATCCTTCACCTCAAGCATGTCATTGCACTTTGTGCTTTTATAGATTTCAGGGTGGAATTGCTGTTCGGTTCGAGTGTGGCAGTATTGGCAAGAGTCTCCAGCCTCACAAAGTTCTGGATCTAGCCATTCATCCACAGTTTTCGCGGCGGGACAAGGAGTAGACCTGAAACAACTAGGACTCGAGGGAAACGCACGGAAATAGTGAACTGACCTGTATTTGCATATTGCAGGAGGCCGTCGACGGTCTTTCGAGTTATGGTAGAATGGGCAAGCATAACCTTGGCGGCAAAGTCTAGCTGGCTTTCGGCACTGCTCCGTTTTGTAGCAAGATAGCACGTGGTCTTGACCTGCGGAAGAACAATGCAGCCTCTTTGACAAGTTCATCTTAATTATGGGGAAGCCAAGTTCCTTTGTCACAACAGTTCGATTTTTTTTCTCAGATATAAAAGCCACAGAGTTCATGACTTCAACTTGAGAAGCCTGGTTACGCCACTGCTACCAGTTCGTGTTTGCACGACGTGTTTTAACTTCCCCACGCCTTTCGTTAAATTTCAATAAGTCGGAAAGAAAACAATGTAAAGACTTGCTTTTGAAGAATTCAAAAATTCAATACATACAGCGCGTTTCATAATTATAAGGTCACCCTCAAAATTTGCACTTTCAGAAGAAGCAATCATTCAGGATTTTCTCATCATGCATCATGAACAGATCCCCCAGCACGAATAACCTAAGTATCCGTTTTTTAGTAGCAGCTGCATTTTTCTGATTTTTTTATAACAGTTTATCGATTTTTGCACCGTTTCATAATTATAAGGTCACCCTGAGAACGCAAACAACCACTCATGGAGGAGAGGAAATTTCGTCATTCAAAATACTTATAAAGGTAAACGTGTGTAGCAAATGCATTTCTACACTTGACTGTCAACATGGTTCGTGGTCGTCGGCTTTCCTCCGATGAGAAGGCTCAAATTCGAGCTCTTCATGAAGCTGGGCTCAGTTGACGAGCAATTTCCAGGCAAATAGGGAGATCCCTCTGCTCTATCCAAAGGTTTCTGGAGAGCCCGATGTCCCTAGATGTGACACCAGCCGTGGATGCCCACGCAAGGTTACTACTCGTGACGAGCGGAAGATTCTGGGGGCTGCTTCCAACAGTATGTCCTCCTTGAACCAGATCCGATCGGAATTAAACCTCTCTGTGTCGAAAACTACAGTGTGGAGAGCAGTAAGAAGTTGCGAGAACATCACTAGGCAAGCAACGAAGAAGGCTCCACGAATCACCGATTGCCACAGAGAGGCTCGACTCGAATTTGCAAAGATGAATCTAGGAAGAGATTGGGCAAAGGTAGGTCTGCATCAAAATCTCACCATACAGCTGAATGTTCTCCATTCAGGTTGTCTTTTCGGGTGAAAAGAAATTTACCTTTGACGGCCGAGTATTACTGGTGCGACTTGAGGAAGGAACTAGTCTACTTAAGCCGTCGCAATTTCGGTGGAGGAAGTCTCAAGGTGTGGGTGCATTCTGCAATGATGTCGCGTTGGATCAAACCTTCGTGAGCTGCAGAATGGATTCCAAGGATTACCAGAACGTCTTCGAGCATCATCTAGTACCATTTCTAAGCCGTGGCCGTCACCTCAACTATGTCTTTCAACAAGACAATGCCTCCATACACGAGAGCCGTGCAACGAATGAGTGGCTGCAACGGCAAAACATAAGCGTTCTGCCATGGCCGGCCTGCAGTCCCGATCTCAATCCGATGAAAAATATTTGGGGTATAATAGTCAGACAGGTTTATGGGAATAACCGTCAGCTCCCGAGCACAGAAGACCTGAACCGGGCGATTATCGAAGCATGGAGAGCAATCGATGAGGAACAACTTGGAAACTTAGTTTCTATATGTCACGTAGGCTCTCTGATGTTGCGATTATTAACTGCTGTACATATGCCATTAACATTTATAAATCATTCACTTTCTCAGGGAGACCTGATAATTATGAAACGGTGTAAAAACCGACGCTATTTTCGAAAAATTCATGAGAAAAAGTTGAGGTAAAGTAGTTGGCAATAAACCAAGTACAAACGTGATATGACACGTCATTATCGATCGATTGCAGTTCTATGACTTGTTAACCAGTTGCGGCGATCCCGCCTACTGGACCAAGTGACTGCTTTCATAGTCCATGATTTGGCGAGCAACCGATCGCGCGACTAGTCGCGCGACTGGTCGCTCGCCAAATCGTGGTCTATGAAAGCAGCCTTTGAGGTGTTCGAACTTTTGTCTGCATGCAGAAATTCGAAGAAGCGCTTTATCATCGTCGGGTACAACATTCCACTGAACCCATTCCACACACTCCGCATATCATTACTACATCGGCAGGGAGCGGACCACGACGGAGGCTTTGCTCTGACCACCTCTATGTCTAATTCGCGAATAAACACAGCAGAAAAAGTAGGTGTTCCTGCAAAATTATCACGGGGATCCCATGAAAACGTTTAGCACTAAGACTCGCTGAATCCAATCCGAACAAGGCGCGCTCTTATGACATAATGATCCTGGAAAGTAAAATGTTAATGGCAACGAAATAAGGAATCTCTCCGAACGGAGAAAAAACTATTAGGATATTTAGAAAGTTTTGAGGAAATTTTGCTTCTTAACTGTGAAAACATGTTGCTTCCAAAGTGTTAAAGACGGACTATAGATTCGATAGCGAGGAAAGGGCACTGTTGATAGATACTATAGCCGATCAGTAGTTGACACGGTCGTCCGAAGCAAGTAATCGTCGATCGATGTGCTATCGATAAAACTACCGGAGCCTTATCCTTCACCATTACGAAACTGATCGCTTCGACACTCAAGCTTGGATGAGATATGGTGACTGATGGGAGCAGTGCGCTCCCTCTTGTCACCTAAAATAAATGGCAGATCGTTTCCCCTGACAAGGGAGGGATACTTGATCGCAGTAGCCATTCGAGATGAGATGTGTACCCCTCTGGGTGGTTTCGAACGCTGTTCTCGAACCTGTGTTCCAAATCTGCGAAACGGATCTGGGAACAAAGTTGCGAGACCGATGCCTTCCCTGTGTTATACCACTGTACCGAACGGATCACCGTGCCGAACAAAACCGTAACTGTGCAACGGTGGCGCAGCTGATAGTGTGGTGGACTAGTAGGCATTACATCAAGGTTCGATTCTTCGATGAATGCGCTCGTTTTGCTTTTCCATGGAATGCCTCCCAAACGCTTGCAAAACATTTTTGGGTTAAATGCTGGGCATCTACAAAGCTCCCCCATAATTTAAAAGCACTGGAAAGGCATTTCAAGGGATTTTTTTGCCCAGAACAGGTCAAATAGAGGTGGAGCTCCAGCTCCAGCAAAAATTCCAAACGTTTGCTCAAAATGGCCTCAAGAGGCTTCAAGGAGAAAGGATCCAAATGATTTATCTGATCAAAGCTTTTCAACATGTCACCAGCGAATCTTCTGGCCGAATGCGGTGTCAACATATTTGATGGAAGACTCTCGTTTTTGCAGCATAACGTGGGCAAAATTTAGGGAGAGGCGGTAATGAAGACCTTTCAAATCATACTTCTCGATGCTATGAAAACAAACCTGTAATTCTTTCCGAAGAAATCGAGTCCGTGAAATGTGAGCAGAATGATCATCCGCGGACGCCTGATGAGAACAGCGACGATAGATCCGTAACTACGCGAAGAAACCTCGTACGTTTTTGGGGATATACTCGGGGGCTCGGAAGTGATTGTAGCCTTCATGTTTGTGATCTGGCCGAGACGCCCCATTTTGATGGCGATGGTAGTAGAGTCCATAGCCTTCCATAGTTCAGCTGTCAAAGAAAGCCGTACCTCTTCGAGCGTGAGGATTAAGCGAACCGATCTGCCTACCTAGGAGATTAGCAGATAAGTTGGAAGGATAAGCTGTCATAAAATTAATATAGGAGTCTTACTGCACTACAGTCTCTCCATTGGATACTGCTTCAAATCAACAATGAAGGCCCATAGGGGACAAATTCAGTACAAATCGAAGGTGGATTCAGCGTTTTGAGTACAGTGGTAACATGCCCCACCGCACCACCACGATTACTCATGAAAGAGCGTTTACCGCAAGTGTACGCACAAAGCGATAAACTAGTATTGTCCTACAATATTTTCTCAACAATGCCAGTTAACTTGACCACCGCTTCGAAAACGCGGACACTATTACTAGAATGTATACACCGTATCCCTCCCAAAGAGAGATGGGGTCGGATCAGCATTCGACCGCCGTCTACCGTAAGTGCAGGGAGCTGGCGAAGATTTCGAAACACCATCTTGACTGTACACAGGGGAGGCATCGGTCTCGTAACTTTGTTCCCAGATCCGTTTCGCAGATTTGGAACACAGATTCGAGAACAGCGTTCGAAACCACCTAGAGGGGTACACAGCTCATCTCGAATGGCTACTGCGATCAAGTATCCCTCCCTTGTGAGGAGAAATACGTCGTCAAAGCAAATGTTCACTGTCCTCGAATACCGACGCTGTTCTGGCCTACCGTCAAAACAAACTTTTTGAAACTGTGAGGAAATCGAGATTACGATCTCTACTCCCCCATCCAGCATCCACTACGTTTTACGCAAAAGTCACTTTGAAAGTAAGACTCTGCAAATATCGCACACTCCTTGAGTTAGCAGGAGCGTCGAGGGCGAGTCAGTGGGTGTCAGAAGCTCCCCGATCGTGAGCGAACAATGACATCAACCGACTTCAGCATTGCTCAGGATGATAATTAGACGTCATATGGAAATCCAACAGGAAATTGCAATGCCTACCAGTAGAAGTATGGCCACAGCTCACTACAGAGCGGGAATCACACCAGGAATGTCGTCAACGCCGACTAAATGTAATGTTATGATTTAGTGTAACGTTAAATGTTGATAGATTCAAACGAAGAAAGATGTTTCAAATGAGGCTCTTTACGGTGGTTGCGTATGATAACGTTTGTCAACGCCGATAAAACATAAGGCTCTTCGCGGCAGCTATGTATGTAAACGTGCTAAGAGCAATGCTATAAAAGTAGTGGTGCGACGAGAGCGGGGCCTCTTGCAACAGCTGCGACGTCTTCGATTTCTACGACATCATCTTCTTCAAGTCATAGTCAATCGCCGGAGCTATTCCTATCTGTCGAGTGAAAGTTCTACTGTGGCGAATAAAGTGTTACGGTCTAGTGGTCAGTCGTCCCACACATCAAACTGGCGAGTATTCCTATCACAACCACTGATATGGTGCATCTCGATCGAAACGACTCCAGGCTGGTTCAATGAGTTCAATTACAGAATTCACGTATTTTACTTACGTTTTTTTTATTCCGGATTTGTTAACCTTTTCTAACAATCTGAAACGCGTGCGAATCTTGACCCAAATTCAGTTAAGCAAGTTTTGGTAACTCGGGCATAAGGTTTATTGACGTGAAAAAAAGAGCTTGCATTTCCAGTATGTCAGCTCAAATATAAGTACTGCAGCGTTTCCAAGCAGAACAAGTCGAATTGCTACAAGCCTCAGAATGACTGACCCCCACCGAGTTCCAAGATAGCCGCAGACGCTTAGAAGAAGCTATAGGTGCGATCCGAACTTGTACCTCTCGCATTGAGACACTACTGAGCGATTACGCCGTAGCACTAGATGTAGGGGTAGCCGGTCCGGCAGCGTAACCTAGGGTGAGAAGCCGGTCACGACGTGATAACCTGAGGATGCGTGCTCCCCGCGGGATATGCGAGGCCGTGGCGAGGGGTGTGGTGCGATTCACGCGCCAATATGAGGTCATCGAACAAAACACGCTAAAACATCATGCCTACCATCATAATGAAAGAAATAAGAACTTATAGGTAGAATAAGTAAAAAAAAATGACCAACTATGCACGTTTACAGAAGGATTGCATTCTCAAGGATCAAAAAATTTGAAGTTCTTCTTATTTTGAACGTTTGACAAGTAAATTGACGAACTATGGTGTGAATTCCTAATCTCGAAGGGGCTTCATTGCCATTTTTTATTTTTATTTTTTTAGTTCATGGTGGAGCCGTGGACTACTGCAAATTTATTTGGTCCATATCAACAGAATGGTACTGAAACAATGCTGCGCGCGCGAAGAGCTCTA